CAAGCCCGGTTTCTTCATCTCATGTTTGCTGCTCCATGTGGCTTCCTTAGGTCTCCTTCTCCATCTGCCTTTCTTCTCTCTTCTCTCTCCTTTTTCTCTGCTCAGTTCCACCCTCCTTCTGGGTGGGGCAGGGAACCTGGAACTTCCCTTCTCCTAGGGACCACCCAGTTACACTATCATCTGGGAAAGCAGCAAGAACCCCTTGTGTTCCAGTGAGTTGAATGAGGTCTGTTGGAAAATGTGGCCATTCCTCCCTTGTCTGGACACAGGTGTTGCGAGGTGAAGAGAGGTAACTTTCTGTCAAACAGGGTACTGAGGAACCAGGGTAGACTCCTCGCTAGGTTGGTAACTTAGTTAAACTAAGTTTAGACCTTTTATAGGTTGCTGGACCTTTTAAGTTGGTCATTATAAAGGAAGGAAGGAAAGCAGGAAGCACAGAGGCGGGAAGGAAAGTATGACCCGCAGGTCCCCTAGAATAGTACTCAAAATTTGCTTACTACCCCACTTTCTTCATGAAGTTATTGGACTACCCTAGCGCACAGCCTCTTGTTGACTTGTCATACTTTGAATATAAAAAGATTAAGTAATTTGCCCAAGAGAGAATAGTGGAGCCCAGCACCAAGCACCTGTAAAAAGACCAGTAGAATAATAATTTCTACTAGGATTGTGAAATTAACTGAGTTAATGCACTTAAAATGCCCAGAATAGTTCCTGGCACATAATATGCTCAGAAAATGCCATCTATTATTATTATATGTTTTCAATTACCTAAGTGTAAAAGTATTTTGGGTTTAGGAACTATACATCCCACATTCACTTGCTTAGGCATTATCAGATACCCCTCTGCCCTGTAACATAACCCAGTTGGGAAGTGCTTATTAAACAAGGTCAGTGAAGGAGCCAAAGAAGGAAGTTGTTTTTTTTGTCATTAATTATCCCTTTACTGATCCCTCTGCTTTTGTGTTTCCTTTTTCCCTTATTTTTCTTTGCAGTCCTCACTACCACTGTCTGGTTTTTTTCATGTTCTGAGGAGGGGATGAGAAGGAGCCATGGATCCTGCAGCATTAGTGGAAGCCGTTGTGGAAGAAGTGGCCTGTCCCATCTGCATGACCTTCCTCAAGGAGCCTATGAGCATCGACTGTGGCCACAGCTTCTGCCACAGTTGTCTCTCTGAACTCTGGAAGGGGCTGGAGGATTCTGAGAACTGGAGTTACACATGTCCACTCTGCCGGGCCCCTGTCCAGCCAAGGAACCGGAGGCCTAATTGGCAGCTGGCCAATGTGGTGGAGAAAGTCCGGCTACTGGGACTGCATCCAGAAATGGGGCTGAAGGGCGACATGTGTGAGCTCCATGGACAACAGTTAAAGGTGTTCTGCAGAGAGGATGGCCTGATCATGTGCCAGGCCTGCAGCCATTCCCCCGAACATGCCACCCACAGTGTCATGCCCATGGAAGATGTTGCCTGGGAGTATAAGGTGGGAGATGGTGGTTGGCACCTCGGTCTCTCTGCCACCCCTACTTAGCTGTCTCTAGATCAGAGAATTGATTCCTCTGTGCCTGACACCCACAGATCCCTGGCACTTGATGCAATCCACCCCTCACCTTGCATTCATAACCTCCTTTGACTGCAATCCCGTCCACTTCCAGGCCAGATCCCAGTGTGGCTCAATGCCTAACCCAGAGATACATCCCTTGTTAAGAATTTGAAGACCCAGTTTGTTTTAGCTTCTGGGTGGTTCAGGTGACTTTGGGTGTGAGTAGTACTCAAGGCTGTACCTCATAGAACCTAAAACCCTCTCATAATGTTCTGCAGTCACTTGACATTGGCTGAGTCATTTTAACTCCCTTATTTATAGACTGAATGACCCTTAGAAATTTGAGATCATGACAGTTGACTTTAGAACAGGAAAGGACTATCGGTGAGTCATGTAGTGAGATTTTCTAATCTAATGTTCTAAGGTTCCTTCTCACTTCACGTTAGTCAAATGCAGGTTAGGAGCTAAATAGCGGCTCTTCTAATTCTTTGACCAGACCAGAATTCTTTCTCCCTTCCCCTTCTCCTTTGAAAACTCACCTCTGACACACCTGCTGCTTTTTGTAGCTACCCTCACTTACTTCAAGCTTCTTACATCTTTCTTCAGTTAGTTGCCCATACTGACATCTTTCTCAGAATCTCAATATTCCCATCGTTGTGTGATCCACCAATCCAGTACTGGTCTTAATTCTCTATCTTGAAGTTGAAATTAGAAGGTAGCTGTTTTTCTATTCAAGAAACATTTCTTAAAAAATTAAAACTATTAAGCTTGTTTTGAGAGATTTAGAGTAGGGAGGCAGTATAACACAGTTATAGCAATTAAGAGGCTGGGCTAAAACCCGCCCAGCCATTTACCAGCTGAATGACGTTCAGTAAGTCTTTTAGTCTCAGTTTTTGTATCTATAAAAGGGGAAGAATACAAATCTCAAGAGGTTGTGAGTGTTAAAGGTGTATTTACTGCTTAAGCCATATTTGACCCTTGGTAAATTTTTCATAAAAGTGGTTAATGTTATCAGAAGCCTTCATGCTTCCCAATAGTAATCTCTTACATTTACACCCTAGGCTAGTGCTCCTTACTTTTAATATGCAAGTGCTCCTTACTTTTAATATGCAAGTGCTCCTTACTTTTAATATGCAAGTGAGCCATCCAAGGATCTTCCTAAAATGCAAGTTCTAATTCAGTATGTATGGGGTGAGGCCCTAGAGCCTGCATTTCTAATAAGGTCCCAGGTGGTGCTGATCTGCTTTGAATAACAAGCTTTTATGATCTGCTTTGAATAACAAGGATGCAGGTTAACACAGCAGATAAGGATGAAAATAGGAGTGGGTAGGGAAATCCAAGGTAGTTTTCTGGCAAGGTTGGAAATAGACCTACTTTACAGAAACTGACCGTGTGGGCGTTTAAATGATTCTCAATCGAGAGCTACATTGGATGTCATAAGGCAAGAACCCCATTTCTGTGTCATTTTGCTTCTCTCCCAGGATTCTACTGGCCCATCACCCAAAGGACACTTGTTTCTCATTTTCTGCCAGTGCTAGGAAGTCTTATCAAACTGGGCTGCCTGAGATGGCCTCATGAGTTTTCATTTCTTTCAGTGGAAACTCCATGAGGTTCTGGAACATCTGAAGAAAGAGCAAGAAGAGGCGTGGAATCTGGAAGTCAGTGAGAGGAAACGAACTGCCGACTGGAAGGCAGGTTGCTGCCAGGGGCATGAGTCTGTCTGATCCTTGTGTGATCCTGGAGCTGGCCTTTGGTAGCTCCTTATCTCTCAGGAGGTTTGAAATCGGAGAGCCTGAGGTTCCATACCAACTTTCTTTACCAGGTGTGTGGCCTTGGTAGGCCATGTATCCCTCAATTCCAGTTTCCCGAGAGTGATGTCCGGATAGCCCCTGGGCCCAGGTCCTTATGTGTGAGAAAGGAAAAACATGGGCCTATTTAGGTCATAGTGGCAGAACTCGTGTAATGCTTACTAAAGCATATTTTGTTTAATTTTTCCTGGTAGAACATATTTACCAAAAGTTATTAAGCATTAGAAAATCATGACTGATTTTTGAGGCACATAACTACCCAACTGCCGCGTCCGGCTAATCGGAGCCGAGTCCGGCGAGGGACGATGAGGTTAAAGAAAACACAGGCCACCAAGGTTCTTCATCCAGGAGTCTCTCCCTTTATTGTCCGTGACCCCCCTTTATATATCATTAGGCAGTAAGGGTGGGAGTTTGGAGAAGAGTGGAAATTTACTGAGAAAGAGGTATGGGGGAAGTGAGGAGTTTCTCTTATCACGGCCGGCCGGCAACTGCCAGACGCCTGCACTCCCTATGGCGCAGGTGTGGGCACTCCCTCACTCCCTTTATGGCGCCTCAGGCTGTTAGATAGGATGACCACAAATCTGCGTCCACCTTATCGGTTCAACCATCTGTTGCCATGGTAGCACAGCGGTGGGCGCATTCCTCGGAGTCCCAAGAGCTGGGTGCAACCGAGCCACCAACACCCAACTATCCAAAAGTGTCATCAACAGAAGGTAACATCAAACCAGTCTAAAACAGTATGTTGAATTGATACATTACTAGTATCTAATAGTGTAAACGACACTGTCTTTGATTCTTAAGTGTAACAATCATCAATATTCTGAAAATAGAAGTCGAGTATACAGTACCAAGATGGTGTTCTGTACCCTCTCAGCGTCAACAGGAGTAATAACAAGGCTCAGTAGCACAAATTGAAGCTATGCGAACAGAAGGGCAGGAAAACTCAGGTCCTTTATTTCTACTAAGCCTGGCACACTGTACCAAAACATTCTAGACCATGTGATCGTGTACATGCTGGTGTCCTCAATCCTGGGTGACTTTTATACCAACACTTATCAGTGCTGATTCCAGTCGTGGCTCTGTAGATGCAGGTGGAAGCCCGGAAGAAGAGTATCACATGGGAGTTTGAGAAGTATCAGAGATTACTAGAGAAAAAACAGCCCTCAGGTCGGCAGCTAGAGGCAGAGGCAGCTGCAGCTTTGGCCAACCTGGAGCAGGAGGAAGAGGAGACCACACAGAAGCTGCAATTAAATCATGAGACCCTGACCCAGCAGAGCCGGGTGCTGTGGAGGATGATTGAGGAGCTGAAAGAGCGGTCCCAGAGGCCTGTCCGCTGGATGCTGAAGGTGAGTAGCAGGGCTTCTTGAACACAGCTGGAACTCCAGCTGTTTCCAGTGGCCCTTCCAGCACTACCTGCAGGCGTGGGACCTGTGTGCCCCTGAGATTACTGCCCCCCCAGTGGGTGACTGACCTGGTGCTTCATAGATGTGGCAGCTTCAGGCAGCTCTGGCAACAAACCAGCCAGAACGCAGCATGCTGTGTTCCCCTCCTGCCTGCATCTGTCTCCACTGCCTTCTCTCCCACCTACTCTGTGTCTCACATTCCCTTGGGTAGCCACCTACCCCTGAGCGCAGTGTCTGATGTCCCTTTGAGGCACAGCACATACTCATATCCTGATTTTTTTTTTTTTCTTTCTAGGATATTCATGAAGTCTTAAACAGGTATGGGCCCATCCTTGGATCCCCCACAGCCTTGTAAGGGAAAGTAAGGCCTGACCAGGCTGGAAGTGGGGAAGGAACAGGACCCTGCACCTACAGAAAGCACATGTTAATCCATAACCTTCTTCCTTTTTCATGGTGTTAGCTAAAACTTTGCACTTTCTTTTATTCATCTTTGTTCATAGGCAGTTTTATTTTCAGTAGTACCAATAAGAATTTCAGGTAAAGTTGCAAAGCACATGGTTACAAGTATATCCCCCAAGATAGGACAAAGATCGTGGTGTGTCCTTAGTGATGCTCTAAACCCGAAGCACCAGCCTCTCCCCTGCAGCACACCTCTCCCTCTCCTGTTGGATGCACCTCAGACCCCTCCTACAGCATAGGAATGTGAAGGTGCTCTCCCTTCTACAGCCCTTAAGGCCAGTCAGCTAACCATCACAGCTCTGCTTTGCCTGGTATCTCTGGCCAGGCATCCCTCACTGACCAGGTCCCTAGCCAAGGCCCTCCTCCGCATACTCAGGGAAGGCCCAGCCATGTACAGAGCCAGGACTTCCAGCCCCAAGACTTATTCCTACCCTACCAGGAGCAAGTCGTGGAGCCTACAGCGGCCAGAACAAGTCTCCTTGGAGCTGAAGACAAATTGCCTTGTATTGGGACTAAAAGAGATTCTGAGGTCATATGCAGGTAATGGTGCTGGTGGAGATTGTGATGAGTATTGGGGTCCCTCCTGAGGAATGAAACAGTGCGGCGTCCTCTGGATGCCCCATCCAACCCCCCTGTCATCACTGAGAAACCTGTGGCTGTACTAATCAGGAGATCAACCCCAGGCCCACTGGCTCTCTGTCAGCTACCAAGCAGGATGTTTTTCCCCTAGTGGATGTGCGCTTGGACCCAGACACTGCTTATTCCCGCCTCGTTGTGTCGGAGGACAGAAAACGCGTGCACTATGGAGATGCCAAGCAGAAACTTCCAGACAACTCTGAGAGGTTCTACCTCTACAATATCGTCCTGGGCAGCCAGTGCATCTCCTCAGGCCGGCACTACTGGGAGGTAGAAGTGGGAGACAGGTCTGAATGGGGCCTAGGAGTGTGTGAGGAGAATGTGGATCGGAAGGAGGTGGTCTATTTATCCCCAAACTATGGATTCTGGGTGATAAGGCTGAGGAAGGGAAATGAGTACCGGGCAGGCACTGAGGAATACCCCCTACTGTCCCTGTCAGTCCCTCCCCGCCGGGTGGGAGTCTTCCTGGATTATGAGGCCCATGATGTCTCCTTCTACAATGTGACGGACAATGGCTCCCACATTTTCACTTTCCCCCACTACCCTTTCCCTGGGCGCCTCCTGCCCTATTTTAGCCCTTGCTATAGCATTGGCACAAACAACACCGCTCCTCTGACCATCTGCATCTTGGATGGGGAGGGCTAGGGGAGCCACTCTCTGGCAGGAGATCTTGGAATGTCTCCTGGCCCATAGGGGACTTGGACCTGCCACAGACAAGTTTCCCCTTGAACTGAGCTGAACTAGAACCCAGGGATAGCTCTGCCTGACCCAGTGTTCTGTTGCTACGAGGACAAATTCACCAAACCTCAGGCTCAGTCAAATAAGCGCCACTTCTCAGCAAGGAAAGCCTGACAGATGGTGGTGGGGATCAGAGCAGTGCTCAGGATCCGGACGCTGGCTTTTCTGTAGCTCATGCCCCCCTCCCCCCTGCCTTGCTGGTGTCATAATTACGTCAATAATGATGAGAACTGGGTCCAGCCTCCAGGGAACCCTTTGGATGCAGTTAACCAACAAGCCAAACAGTCCAGAGCTGGTGGCTGTGCTGGTACCAGTTGGTACCAAGACACCTAAGGTCTGCTACTAAGAACAAACTACTTTGACTCCAGCTTCCTGACCTCTTAACTAGAGAAATGCATTGCAGCAAAGGTTATGGGGCTTGCCCAGGCCACCCCAGTGGCCATCCCTCACTAGCCACGAGCTGGGCAAGTCACTCAGATCACTTGTTTTCAAGCTCTAAGGAGACTTGGGTCCCAGTCCTGCCTTTTTTTTTACATGACAGAATCAGAAAAGCTCTGAACCTTGTCTTTATCTTCACTTTATGGATGAAGAAACTGAAATGGCCTTAATGCAGAACTTACTCCTTACAAAGCTATTGAAAGACAATTACAAAGATTATAAAGTATTTCTCACACTGAAACTAAACAAGATTGACAAACTCACTTCTCAGCTTGATTGTCTGTGTGTCATTTCTTATTTGAGGGTCTGGAACAGCCCCCATGTTTGGAAGATGGTCACTGTCTTCAGTGGGGAATGGGCACTGTGTGCTCTCCTCCCTTCCAGGGTTGATGTGAAGACCTCAGATCCATCTCATACTTTAGCTCCTGTCTGAGGGGCCAAACTATGGGTCTGTCTATGGGGACCTGGCTGTCTCGCCTTCATACAGCCAGCAGCTTACATCTTTATAGCAGTGCCTTTATTTCATAGGGTCTCTACAAGTAGTCTGGAGCCTTTTCAACAGAAATGCACCCTTGCCAGTGGTAAACTCCTGGTCAGAATAATATATTTTGTGTCTGTCTCTCTTGAATTGGGATGGGGACTGGGACCTCACAGTAGAGAATAAAGATAGTAAAAAAGAAAAATAAAACAAATGACAAGGAAGGTAACCCACAAGCTGGTTGGGCTGAAGTTTGGGTCTTTTCATGTCACCAAGAAAGTCTGTGGTTCTGGCAACTGTGAAATAGTTTCTCTGCTTCTGTCTCTAAATCTGTGATGTAAAGAGGAATGGGGAAGGGGAGTCATAGAAGAAAGAATTTGACCATGCTCAATATGCCTGTTGGAGAGCCAGGTATTATAGTGAAAGGGAATTAAAACTGTTCATCTGTGCTATTGATTCTAGAATGATTGTTGTGCATGGCAAAACCAGTTTACCACATATCTGTGATTATGGCTAGAAACTAACAAACTGCAAAGCAAGCTCATGAAAATTACTGGCATTGCTTTTGCAAGGAACTACAACAGTACATTATGTTACATTATGTGTTGTCTCAGTGATGCTGTGTGATATAGTCTGCAGATGTGGTTTAAGCTTGAAGGATGTGACTTGGGGGTTAGGATTGGCAGCAGAGTAGATCCTGACTTAGGAAATAGGCAGTTCCAAACAGCTGTGGTGAAGGATAGCAAAAACAGTCTCTACCTTAATTGTATTGGCTAGTGTCCTCTGAAGGAAGTAAAACAGGGCAAACTGGAGAGAAAACTCATTCTATCCACCTGCTTCTCAGTCAGTCCTTTAGCATTGACAGTAGGTGGGGAGATGTCTCCATTAGCCACTTGGATGGAAATGAAGTGCTTAGTCATAAACCTGGTCTTGGCAGAGGGTAGGGCTGACCTGTTTTAGAGGGATGTAAGTCTTTTTATCCCTAGTCTTAGGGATGTGAAAAATAGGTCTTTAGGGAGCGCTTCCAGTCATAGACATAGACATTTTACAGAAGAGACTGCTGGCCCAGTCTGTGGTGTTTTTTTACTATGGTTTTATTAAGACACATCTTGGAAATTTTCTAGAAAAGGTGTATTACCCAGTGATAAATTCTTTCAAACCAAGAATAAGTTAAAGAACAGGGTGACCCTGTTTGTAATGTGCTATTTTCTTGTTACTTGATTTTTTTTAAGATTTATTTATTTATTTATACAGAACTGGGGTACAGGCCAGAGGTGCAGGGGGCGGTGAGAGGATTCTCCAGAGACAGAGTAGGGAACAGAATAGGCAGGTTGACGAACTACACTGCTGAGGGAAACAGCAGGCAAGGCAGGAGAGGTCTGCTGTGCCATGTGGATCACCTCCCAGGCCAGGGATCCAACTCTTTAATGCTGCACTTCGACCTCTGTGCCACCAGGGAGGGCCATTATTTGATATTTATAAACTAATTTGTGTGCTGTTATTATTTGTTGGAATGATTACAAAGTTAAATGGCTTCATTGATTATTTTCTATTGTCTGATTTTTTAAGATCAGGCAAGAAGATTGGAGTTCACAGATACAAAAACTCCTTTCTCCAAGGTAGTAGTTTATACTTCCCTTTTAAGAACTCCATGGAGACAGTTCTTGTTTGGGTCACCACTCCAGCCTGAGTCTAGCCATGTGTTGATCAGTACTTAAATGAGGGAACTTTCATTCACATGCCTAAAATCAAAACAAAAATTAGCTCTTCCGCCTCATAGATGCTTAGAATACTGAGTGCTCCTTAGTTATAATCTTGCTCAAAGCTAATTTGAGGAATAGTCACAAAAGTAGGCCAGAAGAGGAAGAAGCTGGCAGGTAGACAACAGCATGCCTGCACTTTCCCGGGAAGGCTTGGGGATCACACCTCCACCTTGGTGTGAGCATTTACTACAAGGCAGGGATAAGTTTTACCGAGGCTGGTATTACTCTCAGAGAAACTAAGATGTGCAGTGCCTGAGCCATGAAGGAAAAGGCCACTAGAAGGATGAGGGCTTGCTATGGAGAAAGAATGGTATGACTTTGCAAAATGAAAATCTTATCAAAAATGTTTAACTGCTTCTTGATCTTAATTTGTTTTTACATTAGGAGTTGCAGAGTGAGGAGTTTTTTACTGTTCTTTGGGAACTTAGTGCATTATTGGATTTTTAGAGGCTGAGTCCTAGTCCACTGGTATAAAGGGATCGAGTACATTCTGGTAGGTAACAAAGGCCAGTGTTAGCACAAGGTATGTGTGCTAATTGTTGAGTTATCAAAAGTACTGAGCAGAACTGACACTACCCTTTAAAACTGTGGATTAGAAATTTACTGGCTGTACTTTTAAAGCATCTGTGTCAGAGTTAACCTTGTGTGCTTTATATTCATTACTCATTTTAAGTATTCTATGAATTAGCATTGTTTCCCTCACTAACAGAGGGAGATAATAAGATTCAGATAACTTGTTATCAACTCTTAGGAAGTTATCTTTAATTAAGATTTTCAGGTGTACTAGAATAAATATATGTATCTTCTATATAAAATCTTTTTCTTTGAACATATACTGATGATTCCATTTAGACTTGCTGAAAGGAGAAAATAAAAACAAAAGCCAAGTACGTATTTAGAGAAAAGTAGTGACATTTCATCTTCACTATTAATATTATTTTTCTTTAATGTTTTTACATTAGAGGTATCCAAAAGGCCTATGTAATATCTGATCCCTGTCTTTTGGGTCTTAGAGTTAAGTCACACAAGCAGGATTAGGAAGCAGAGACAGAATGCCCAAAACCAGACTCACGTCGCCTTAGCTTCTGCTTAGAAACAGAAGAGTGGGAATTATACACTGCCTTCAACTGCTTAATGATGGAGACATGGGAAAAGGAGATAGAGGAATCTTACCAAACTTACTCAGGGATATACCTGGGTGTACAAAATAAACTAGTCATAGACTCAGTTCTTTGTCTCATTTTGCCAACCTGTCTCTTCCTGTAGACTAGGTTTCTCTCCCCAAATTCATGTGTTGGAAAAAGGCCCCCATCAGTGATCCCAAGTTTTCTCGTCAGATTAGCTCAAATCCACTTTGACTGAGAAGACCTGTGGTTCAGGCCTGCACACGAGAACCAAGTTTAATGGACTTCATCATTGGGCCACAAGGCAGGGTCATATATTAACAGTTGCTTCCCTATAACCTGAGAAAATCATCTGGGTGTACAGGGGTCAAACAGTTGGTTTCTTCTGGAATTAGACCCTAAATTAGATATATAGGCCAGAAGTTAAGGAAAGAAAAACCCTAAATATATATTCTGTGCCCAAACTTATATCTGAATCATTAACTAAGCCATTAAAAGTATTGACAGAAAATTACTCAGTTATTTCATGTTCTTGTTAGAAATTGAAAAATGATGTAAAGATATCCTTTACAGCTTTATCTTAGAACCCCTATGGTGCCAGGTGAACCAAATCAGCCCCACAGATCTCTAAGGAATCTTTGAAGTTGGATGGCATGCTCAAGAACTGACCAGACTTTGGGTTCATGAACCAAGGTTGGGGTGGCCAAAGAGACAGCGCATCAAAAAACTCAGTGTTTGCTGCCGTATTTGTTTAGTCCTCAGGCCATAGATGATGGGATTTAAAGTGGGTGGGATGACCAGGTACAAGTCTGCTAACAGCACTTGTGTGTGTAAGGGCACTGTGCCCTTTCCTAGCCAGGCCACGTAGATGGAGGCCATCCCAGGCAGGTAGTACAGAGCCATAACACCTACATGGGAGCCACATGTGCTTAATGCTTTCAACTGAGCATTCTTTGAGGAGAGACCAAATACTGCCCGGAGAATCAGGTTGTAAGATGCAGCAATGAAGACCACATCACAGCCCACGATAATAGAAGACCCGATCATACTGTAGAGACTACTGGGCATGGGGCTGGCACATGCCAACTTGGCCACAGCTATGTGCTCACAGTAAGAATGGAGAACCACTTTGGAGTCACAGAAAGGTAGGTGACTCACCATCCAACTGAGTGGAGTCATGAATATGACTGCTCTGATGGTGATGGCCACACACATTCCTAGCATCACTTGAGGGGTGAGAATCCTCTTGTAGTGTAGGGGCTTACAGATGGCTACATAGCGGTCAAAAGCCATGGCCAACAACAGCCCTGTCTCCACAGCTGTGGCTGCATGGACAAAATACATCTGAATGAAACAGCCATTAAAGCTGATGGAGTTGTCTCCTGAGAAGAAGATGACCACCATCTTGGGCACCACCGAGGAGGCCATAACAATGTCCACAGCAGCTAGAACACATAGAAAACAGTACATGGGCTCTCGTAGGGTAGAATCCATCCAGATTACTGTTATTATGAGGGAGTTCCCCAACAGGACTATAGTGTACATGGCAGTCAGTGTAACAGCCAGCCAAAGATGGGAAGAGTGCAGACCTGGGATGCCCACAAGTAAGAAAGTGTCAGGGGGTTCCATTGTGTGGTTGTCATCTGGGCCCACCATCACAGATACAGCAGCTTTCCTGTTAAAAAATAAAACGTTATAAGAAAAGATTTTAATCCTGTAAGACTTGCTCCCAGCTGAGTTGTTAGGAGAGCTATTCCCAGCTCAATGGACCATGGATTCAAACAACTGACAGCTGACACATCCTAACATCCTCCTCATTATTCCTTACCTTATTAATTTATATTTTTTTAATGAAGGGTTTTAGGTTACATCCTTTGGGAAATCTCCCCTTCCTCATCCCATTTGGGTACCTTTCTTCTGAGCTTTCACTGAACATTCCATGTTGACCTCTGAGGGACCTAAAATGATGACAGTACCTATGACTTAAATCATATGTTTTGTTCAAAGCCTTATGCCAAATGTATGACCCACAGTTGTGGTGCAAAAATCCATTAAGGGAAGACAAGTATACTCATTATAGCAAATACTTTCCACAGAATGAAGTCAAAAGGAAAAGTTTTTCTTTTTTCTTAAATTGTTCAATTCCTAAGACATAATAATTATTGAATCAAACAATGAGCGTTTAAGGGTAAATATGTCACATTTTGTACCCTTTATATAGTGTCTTGACAAAAGATGAATAAAGCATTCTTCTGATTGAGAATATTTCCATGAAAATGAGTTTACGAAAGAGCAACATTCACACTTTCCATAGGAGATAACTAACCACCTGGAGATTTATGATCCCTACTTTCTCTAAATTTCAGCCTATTTTCCTGTAGAGCAAAGTTCAATTGTAGATTAAACAGTTACAAGTGAAACAGGACTCCTTTCTTGATGACCCAGCAATTTTAAATAAAGGGTACTTAACCTGTCAAGAGTCAGGACTAACCTGCCCTCAACTGTCATCTCCAGTCCTCAATTGGCTTCCAGGCTTGAGATTTCCATATCCCTGTGCTTGGATGCTTTCTATGCGTACCCCTTTTCTAACTGAGTGGTGGTCTGGCCTCTCTCTGAGAATAACCGAGTACATCAGATTGTGGAGTAGTAGCCGCCAAGCCCCATCAGTAGACATAATCTCTGTTAAACCAAGCCCTTGGTAAGCTTTACCTGGGTCTTAGTCCTAATCAAATGACACAACTTCCCTTCCTAATCCCCTTCAACCCCCTGCACTAGTTGACTCCATATATACCTGAGTCCCAGAACCTAGATAGTAGTCCTCTGAAGTTTTCTGAAAGTCCACATTTCTGGAATAGGATTAGAAACTGATCTTTATTGAAATACACAAACCACCCACAACCAACAACAACAAAAAAAATTTAGACTTACAAAATGCCTTATAGCAGAAAATTCTGACCAATACAGTGAGTGCTGCTTTGTGGTCATATTAAAAGAAGCTTGCTGTAGATAACCATGAGGGAACAACTTCAGCGGGTGGTGGGAGAACTGACAAAGATTTTTGAAGTAGAATGCTGATGGAAAGTACATAGCAAAATTCGTTCAATGTTTCTTTACCACAGAGGGGTGTTTTCTGGAAGCCACAAACTCAGTTGAGCTTCACTGCTTAACCAGCTGAGTAAGAAAGAGTCTGAGGAACCAAAAAGCTGACTTCCACCCACTCACCTCTGATCCAAGACCTTCCTGTCCTGGCCCACAACCCTATGTAAATCCAGCTTTTCCCTACCCATCCCTCTCTCTTTAGCTCTGCAACTTCTACCTGTTCACACCTTTCATTCCCTGGAGAGTTTCACTTTCCTCATTTTTTTTTTTCTTCTTGATTCATCCTGTTACAAAGTTTACATATATTAGTCTTTTCAGATGACAGGATGTTTGGTGTGATAGATCCTCTCTTTACATTTTTATCTCTTTTCAATCTGCTACTATTGAAAATTTTCTTGCGAAGATAATAAATGATGTTCATCGACCACCTGTTGCCAAATCAGTGATTTTTTTCATTCATTATTTTACTCAACCTATCCATTTAGCATCAGTTACTACCAGCTCCCTCATTTTATGGGTAGCCATGAAATATATATCGTACTATATATAACTGTAACATACATACTGCAAAATGCACAGACCTCAGCTATACAGCTTTATAACTTATTATAAAGTGAACATATAAACACGCATATGGCTACTGCATAGACCAAGCTGCAGACACAATTGCTTCCTGGTTGTTGAGGTGCACTGTTCAAAAAGCTCAGGCCAGCTCTTCCTTGCACAATTTGTCACTGCCTTCAACTATGCAAAAACATTTACAAGACCTAGAGGTTCAATCACTAAAGTAACGCTTAGGGCCTGCCTGATGGGCTAGAGGTTTAAGTCTCAACAGGTGATAACCTGACAGCCTGAGTTCCATCCCCAGCCAGGAAGCTGACTCACATATGGCACAGCAGAGCTCTCCTGTCCTGCCCACTGCTCCCCTCAGTAGTGTATTTCAGTAAACCCACCTGCTCTGCTCCCCACTCTGGCTCTAGTGAATTCTCTCACCCCTGATTCCTCTGGCCTGAACCCCTGTTCCTCTATGTACAAAGCTTAAAAAAGAAAAGCTTAGATATGTAATTCAATAACTTAAATCATAGGACATGTGAGGATTTTTAATTGCTATTTAAATGATGGAAAATAGACAATTCAAATTAAAATTGTCCGAAAGGTAAAAGCAGTAATGCTTAACTCATTTGAATGGAGCCTTTGTGTTTATGGTAACCCTATACTTGTCCTCGCCAGCCAAAGAAACGTGTATCCAACCAAACCTGCTGCTCAATTTCTTCCCTCATGACAACTCCTAGTACCTGGAAGCTGTCTCTTCTTTTTCCAAGGTTGGACTTACCCATTCCTCACACAACTTTGAACCAAAACAGTTTTGTGTTCCCTGTTCTCTGCTTTTCACCCATATGCTATCATTTCCAGAAGGTGATCTTGTTTCAACAGTACTCACCAAAACTGGCCAGCCTTTATCGTAGGGTTGAGACTTACATCCTCATTTCTAAGGTGACCCTGGCCAGCCTTGAGATTCCAGCAACCCAACACCCAGTCCCCAGGTCAGTTACCCACATCCCTGAAGTTTTGTCTGTTTAGCATACTGTGATGTGTCTATGCCTGGCCATCCACATTTCTCTCATTCAAAAGGATTTATACAGATCCTTGAGGAGAAGAAAAAGTGACACGAGATCAAAAATGAATAACATAGTCATGTGAGGCATGTTGTAACTTTCAAAGCTTCCCACTGGGAATTCTTTTTCTCCTTTAGATTCTTTATCTCCTGCTCTTTCCCTGGACACCCAGCTCCCCATGGCCTCTGCCCAGCAGCCAACACTAACTCCTCTGGAGACTGCTTCTCCGCTGTGATCCCCAGTGCTTTCCAGATCACAGGAGGAAACAGATTTGTATCGCAGATAAAGAGCCTTTGTTTCTCCAAACCCTCAGAGGGTACCTGAATGTTAGGATATAGATTATATCCTGAAAGGGAAACAAACAGCCCAAGGTTAATTAGATTTGGGAAAGCCTGCTATGTGACAAGCACACTACTAATTGCTGTTCAATGATGATTATTCGATTTTTACAACCCTCTGAAGTAGCTGCCATTATTAAATCCACAATTTAAACATGAATCTGAGGTATGCAGGAGGTTGCAAAGCTAGTAAGAGAGTCAGGAATCAAAGCCTAGGGATCATAATTTGTTCCTCTTCACTGTAGAATTATTCACACAAATAGCACACATAATATCTCCAAGTCCTCTTCACTCTTCAGTTCCCGGTCCTGCCTGGGAATGCATGGTGGGCTTCAATGATTAAGCATTTGTCATGACACTGTATTTCATTTTTAATTTGTGAGAGAATTATTATTTTATATTAGGCAATATTGCTTTTCAACACTGTGATTTAGAGGTTTAAGATTCAGTCATCCCAAATGTATGTTGCAACACCACCAAAGCACCCATTATATTCCATTTAATCTACTGAGCCTCATGTACCCTTTGTTTCCCAAACCTTCTTCCATCCCCCTTGGTAGCTTCCATTCTTTGGCAAATTTCCAGGGTTTAGGGGGTTAGTTTTAATTGTTTCTTTGATTTATTTGTCTATAATCCACATAAGTAAAGTCATCTGGGTGATTTGTCTTCTGGTTTATTTGGCTTACACTATTCCCTTCCTGTTCCATCCATATTCTCACAAATATTAAGATTTCATCTCTTTTAAAGCTCGGTTATATTCCATTGTGTTTATTTACCAGAAATTTTTAATCTTCTCATCTGTTGTTGGCCACTAGGTTGTTTTCATAACTTGGCTATCATAAATAGTGCTGCAGTGAACACAGGAGTGCACATATCTCTTTGAATCAGTGTCTTTGCAACTCCAGGAGTGGAATTGCTGGATCATACCATGGATCTATTTTTAATATCTTGAGAAATGTCCATGACATTTTGCATAGGAACTTGACAGTCTATTCCCACTAACAATACAGTGTTCCTTTTCCTCCATACCCTCACCAATACTTATTGTTTCTGTTCTTTATTAATATGGGTCATTCTCACAGGTGTGAAGTTACTCAATGTGGTTTTTATTTGCACACCCCTGATGATAAGTGAAGATTGTTTATTTTTTCATGTGACTTTTGGCAATTATATGTATATTCTTTGGCAAAATCTCTATTTAGCCCTTCTGCCTAATTTTTAGCTGTATTATTTCTTTTCTTTTTTGAAAAATAGATCTTGTAGAACTCATTTCAGGTCCAGAGTGAGCTAATTTTACTCCCATTCAGTAGGTGTCTCTGTTTTAATGAGAAGCTTTTTAGTTCAATGTATCCCCATTTGTTTATTTTTGCTTTTGTTTCCCTAACTAGTGGGTCATGTCCCAAAAGACCTCTCCTTAGCCAATGTTATTGAGTGTTTGTCTATGTTTTATTCTATATATTTTATTATTTCCTTTTTTGTATCTAAGACTTGAATGCATTTTGAGTTGATTTTTGAGTTTAGTGTAAGACAGATGTCGGGTTTCATTCTTTTGCAATGTCTATCCAGTCTTCTGACCCTCATTGTTGGAGCATTTTCTTTTTCC